AGACACAGTGAAATCGATTTGGCTCTTTTGGTTACCACACATAGTCTCGCATCACTGACAGTCACTATAGATGGTTGTTGCAGCAAGGAAAACTGGTAAGCGTGACTTGTTTAACCACATAGGTGCAATAGACCAGCCTGGATTGCTTTTGTCGCAACCAGGCTTCCACACGTGATATTTTAACGGGGATAACAAACCTAGGTTAACACACTTAGTCTCGTGTCGATCACGGTCACTGTAGACGGGTGTCGTGCAGGAGAACTCTGTAAGCATGAATTGATTAACCATTTACTGTAGGTTTGATAGGCCAGCCTGGATTACTCTTGTTGCAACCAAGCATCCACAGGTGATATTTCCACGGGGATAACGAACCTAGGTTAACACACATAATCTCGTGTCGACGACGGTCCACAGGACGGGATGGCTGTGGAGGACTCTGTGTGGTATCCCGTACCCTTCAGGAGGGAGAGGATGGGGCCGACGTTTTAACTAACCCATGGCCTAGGGGATACTACCTAAAATGTGGTTTTGGGGCGTGGTGGTGATGAACAGTACAACACTCTCTCACTGGCCTCCCCCTATAGGCTGGCTAACCTACCACTAATGGAAAATATATTTCACAGTCATGGCTCGCTGGGCGCCTTATCTCAAGTAAAACAAACTTTGGAGTTGGTTGCGTGGGTAAGCCTAATGCAACCCATGACAAGGGGTTTCTCTCAGCTGAATAAAATCGTCTGGCATTAGCCAGAATGAAATACGGAAGTGCGCAGCTGCACCCAAAAGGGTTTATGGAGATAGATAGGCTTTAAGCTATATGGTTCAACATATGGAACAGTCTGCCAACTGCTGTAGTGGAAACGAGATTAGTACTAAGCCTTAAAATCTGCCTGGACAATATATTTCAGAATGACTGGGATCCTACACGTACAATCATTACTCCAGGCTCCTTCCCCTTCCAAGGTCACCTCCAGGTATGATCATGATAGCCGTTACGGATATTAGGTATGGAAGTATGTAAATGGTATCAATAACACAACGGTAATCCTACGACAATTGAAAATTATTAAAAAAAAATCATATATTTTCTTTAAAGCCCTCCAAAAAGGCACAGATAAACTTGATTCAAATCGGTAAAACAGGTTAGGTACTCCATATTCGCATTGTGGGACGCCAAGATTAGTCTCATGTTAGCATTGCCAAGCATTTTACTTAAGCTTTATAACACCTCTTACCTTGTGTGAAATAATTGTTACATTCACTCCCTCACCTTCACAGTAAACCCACGGTTGAATTATTCTTGATATACGGGTACACTGGTCTGACTTGCTGCCTGTGCAAACCTTTCGCCTAATGCTTCTTACCTGTGTAAAATCTCGTACTGGTTTCCATTTTTCCATTTTGTAAAACTAATCAACATGTTCCGTATGCCAGTAACGTTGAATTTACAGCAAATTATATAAATAAATGTTCGCAAGTATTCGCCTCACCCTCCCGGGAAAATTTATGACATTCTTTTTAGGGTTGCCTCTCCATATCGTCTGGCAGCCTGGTAACGTTTAAGTTCACTGTGATGAGGCTCCGCCATTAGGGTTGGTGTATTGTGACAAACACTGACTTTTTTATCATTTAATAATATTCAGTTTCATAATGATATATTTTAAGGATATCACAGTGACGAAAGCGTATATTGACATATACGGTATATATGAGGTTAAAAGTTTGATTAATATTTTTCTTTTTAGTTGTCATTTATTTATATATACAATATAATAAATAGAAACCTCATTTCTTCTGGATCTCTTCCTCTTCTCTTTAAGACTTATCTTTCACTTGACTGGCGTGGAGGGTTGACTGTCTGCCATACATGACGACAGGCCCTCGTGAATGACGTCCTGGGTTGGTTCTTCTATACTTTAGGCTAGACTAACTGTTACCACGTTGATGGTTTACGATACTTAACGAGTCTGTGTAACTAGAGCTCTACTGCCGAGTTAACACACCAAGTATAGAAAAACTGCGAGGCATAATTCCTTCCCATCAAACACAATGACCACTCTGTCACGACACGGACGAGATGATTGACTCACACAGTAACCAGATGACTCGTAGGGTATACTCATAAGAACAGATCCCTTTCACACCCATCCCAGCACTTCCATGTGCCTATCCAACTTCGTCTTGAAGCTCCCTCATTTCCCTCTCAATATGTCATTACGTTTAGGCAGCCATTCAATTCTTAGACAACTGATTATCGTAGAGTCTCAGCTCCGAATCATCACCTGTAAGAGTCAGTGTTTGGTTGATATCCGGCAAAAGGTGGGCTGGTATTATGGTCATATCTCCATTAGCTTGTGAAAACCAGATCGGTTCACACGATCTTCAAAAACTACTACTTAAGCTTTTACTGTTAACGAGTTGAGATAACTCATGCAGTTGGTTTGATGATACTTACGGATACAAGTGTAACAGGAAGATAAATCCTGTGTTGTTTGTCCAACAT